CTAAAAGAATGACTGAGAAAGAGAGATCTGGAGCAGATATAAGCTGATGGCCAAATAAAAACTCATTGCTTAAAGGGGACTTCAAGCACGTGTGTCATCTGCTGGTATCTGAGCTGGATGCTGAATGTTGCTGTGTCTGCAGCTTGGAGCACCTTGGCAGTGCAGAAAGCAGCTGTTGCAGAGAAGGGGGACTCCTCCTGCCCAGGTGGTAGGAATCCCACTGAACTTGTCTCAGCTGGAAATAGTTATGTTACACAAACTCTTCTCCTGCACTTGCTGCAAAGGGTTGGTATCACCAAGCAGTTAGCAACAGAAGACAGCTCTGAGGTGGTGATTAATTGCATGACACCTATTGTAATTATGAATTCCAGATCACTCATCATTCTGGAAATCTGAAGAAGTTCAAGCATCAGGGTGGAGTAAAGGCAGACATCCATGTTAAAGTGTTCCAATGAACACCCAATGTACAAGGAATGTCTCCACAGGGAGTGTGTCTAAACACACACTGTGCTTTTCTTTTCTTGCCCTTTGGGCACAGTAAGGATGTAATCAGACATGCACACAGGACAGATTTGTAATTGTCATTCACTTAAATGCTATTAAAAAAAAACACCAAAGCTTTCTTACCTGCAAATGTTTCCCTTTGGCACAACTTTTCCATCCACAGAAAAAGGGTGAAACATGCTTTGCTTCCCAGGGAGTGAGAAAGAAACAGGATGAGTTCACAGCCCTTGCAGGCCCTGCAGTTTGGAAAGAAGGAACAGCTTATTCTGAAAAAATTCACCACTTTTCTTGTTGAGGGAGAGTTGCAAGTTTTTCCCAGTGCCTCTCTCTGCAAGAGCTCCCAGAGCAGTATGAAGGGGTCAGCAGCAGAACCTTTACCATGACTTTAAAAGTAATAGCCATAAAACCCTACTGGGTCAGGGCTGTGGCAGAGCCAGCAGAGGATGCTGAAGAGAAGGGTGGACAAATCTTGCCCTAAGGGATAAGCTGCAGCCTGCTCCTCTTGTTTGTCTCCTCCAGGTCAAATATAATAGGAGACCCCTGATGCATGAAGTTGAATGTCCCTTCCAAAGCTGATCATACATCCTCATGTTCACAACATCCCCAGGTGAACTGGTCCCTTCCTGGATTTCATTTGAACTGGTGTCCTAGAGGCAAATCTTGCCTTCCCTCCTCTTTTCTTTTACTAAAGGACTAGTAACTTTGCTATACAATTAATTACACCTGTGTGACAGAGTGATAATCATCTGAGACCACAGATGGAGAGCTCAGACCATTTCAAAGGTCTCTGAGACATTCAGCTCATTTTCCCCTGTCCTAAATCACCTGGGAATGGCACCTCTCTCTCCCTGCCCTTAACTTTTCATGAGCAGCTTCCCAAACTGCAGCACTGCAGGGGACCCCTCCTGCCCAACAGCCATCCCAGGGCAGGTCCATCACTCCCATGACCCCAGGAATGTCACACTTGCCCCGTTCAAATGACTTCTGAGACCTCTAGTTCAAGGGAACAAGCACAGCAGGAAGGGGAGTGTGACTGTACTGGGTGGTTGCCTCCCCCTTGGCTGTCTCATGGCCACTGGTGGCCACTAGAAATTTCAGCTCCCACACAGGAAAGTGCTCCCCTGCCCTGCAGAGCAAAGCTGATGGCTTTGTCTCCTCTGCACACAGTGCAGGTCTGAGATAACCTGTTCCTGCAGCTCTCTGGCAAGGATGGCAGGCAAGTGACAGCCTTGTTTTAGCAGACTGGCTGAAGGCTCAAGCTAAATAGGCAAAGGGCAGATCTGCCAAGGGGTCAGCACTGCAGACCCTTTCTGGGTGATGTTACAACCAGGCTGGCCCTGCTGGGTGAGAGAGGTGTCCATGCAAAGGCCAGCCCAGCTGCTGCCTCCTGTCCCCTTTCCACCTCACTGGAAAAGAGGGACATAGCAAGCTCTGGGGTCTTCCTCTTCCTAGCTGGCCCCACTTTCTCCCACCGTTTTCCTGGTGGGATTTCTGCCACCTCAACAGAGAAGCCTTGTATCTGTGACGTGGGGAAATGAGGCAGGAGGACCAATGTGGCAGTTTGGGGTGGCAGTCCCACGAGCCTGGGGCTCTGCTACCTCTGCCCAGGTTTGTGAGGGACACTGGATTTCTCTGGGAACTCCTAGGATGGGGAAAACACACAAAGATCTGGAACCTGAGACCAGAGTAAATAACCCCTCATGGTATATTCAGGCCTTGATAACACAAACCACAGACAAACATGGAACAGGAACAAGTAAGTTGCAAGCCAACCATACAAACACTCGTATCTTAATGCTGCTTCTCTTTAGAGCTGCCATTTTGTGACTGGTTTAGACCCATTGAAGTTCTTTTTGCTGTTGAAAGAGCAATCCCATGTCCAGCTCAGCCCAGCAGTCCCACCTCCTAACAGCAACTTTCATGTGACAGCTCAGTTGGTGTCCTCTGCAGAGCACTGACCAGGCTCTTCCAGAGCAACTCTTGGAGAGAAGAAAGCAGCCTGGGTTTTCAGTAATGGCCCCAAAAATGGGGGAAAGACTTTGTTCCCTGTGAGGATTGCCTGGTTCTCCTCCTTCTCCCATGGGACTAATCCTTGTCAAAAAGAAAGGAGCCAAAGGAGAATTCAGGAGCTCCTTCAGAAAATGCCTGGGTTCTGCAAGAGAACTTCAGGTCACTCTCCACGCAGCTGACTTAAAGATGAAATAAGAGTCTGGGATCTGGAGGATGCTCTCCTATTGCTCATGTCATTTAACAGCCTTAAACTTGGCTGAAATTCTCCAAACACCCCTCTTTGTGTAAGAGTCTGTTTCTTAAGCTCCTCACCATTCTCAGCACCTTTGATCCTGCAAGGATGATGGTCCAGGCTGGGCAGGCTCCAAGAGCAGGATGGCTGATGATTTGTCTCCCTCTGCCCTTATAACTACCCAGACCCTGTGAGCACCCTTCTTCACTGTGTGCAATCTACCCTTCAGGCAGTCCTGTCTCAGCCTCCTGGCACCACCACTGGAATTCCTCACAGTCAGCAGAAAGCAATGGTTTATAACAACTGATGTGTTGATCCAGGGGCAGGGAGGGGACACGACATGTCTATGATCTCCCAAAGGAAGTTTCACTTGACAATGTCTCCTTCCTACTTCCTAACAGGGACTCAGTAGGGTATGACCAACCATGGAAAAATTTTGCTCGTGTCCCAGGAGAAGAATGAGGATTATTTACTGGGTTTCCATCCACCAGGGGGAATTCTGGCTCGTGACATCACTCCATTGTTCCCGCCAGTGCCAAGAACACGCTGGGATCCCATCTTCTCAGTGGTTAAAGAGCTTTCCTGTTTGCTCCTTCCTTGTTTCCAAACAGTGCCTTTCATGAACCCTGCACGGGACGTCTCTTCTCTTGAGCTGTTTTGTCCCCTTCGTCATGTCTGCCTGGAACTCTGGACAATGAAGTGACCAATGTATTCCTCCAGTCAAAAACAAAAGGGAAAAAATAACTGTGGGAGGTGAAGCCCATCTTTGGCATTTAGGACCCTGTGGACGTTTTTGTTCCTTGTTTGGAAGCTGTGTTTGTGCAGCACTGACCAGTCCCTCTGCTGCAGCCTGTTGGTTTTCTTGGTGATGTTAGTGTGGTGATCATGGCAGAAGGGTTGGCCCTGGGAAGCAGGGAAACAGGGACAGTTGCAGGTTGCAGCTCCTCTGTGTCTAGGAGGTGAAGGAGAATCACTGATCAGTCCAAGCTGAACCCCAACAGCCCATAGTATGAGAAGAGACTGAACATTCAGCCTCAAATGAGCAGCTGCTCTTGAGACCACCACAGTTATACACCAGTATAATAATCCGTGGGGATGGTGGGTGCTAAGAGAGCTGTTTCACCCCTTGGCTGAGTGTTCTTCTTTGCAAGCCTAAAGGCAGGTCACTTTTTAAAACAGAATTGTGTTTTTTTTCACACAGAAATTCTGTAGCTTTGGACAAAGCCCTCAGAGCAGGGTCAGTTCAAAGCAGTCCTGGTCAGAGCAATCCCACCCCCACTTTTTCTCTGCAGGGTTTCCACATCCCTGGGACAGAGACTATTGTCCATAGCCCCACATCCTTTAAGACCTTTGAAACACTGGTGCCAGACACCCATATGAGTGCAGGTCATGTTAGTGCCTGCTCAACACAGCAGGGTATTTCCTGGAGAAAAAACCAACTAGTTCAAACTCCATTCAGTAGGCACATGTGAACAAGAGGGTGTAACACACTCCATTTTCTGCCACAGTGTAAATCTCTTGGGATTGATGAGAAATAGAGAAAATGAGTGAGAAATATTGGATGAAAGATGTTTTTGCACCTGGCATTAGAGGCCTATACCTGGCAGATGTCTGGGCACTGGTCTGCTTCTAGCAACACTGCAAGGGATCTTCACAGACATGTACATGTAGCTTTGGGATCTTCTTGGCAACATAAGCTACGTGACCAAGCTGGGGCCACAAAAGGAGCCTGGTAAAGGAAGTAGCTTGAACCCAGATTTCCAAAACCTCAGGTTAACTTGAGACTCTTCTTCTTCCTTCCTGGAGACATAAGAAGCCTTCGTGTGACAAAGTTCTGTGCTGATCCTTTCAGTAAGTGAACCCTGCAAAGCCACATTGCTGTGGCTCTGTCTCATGCTTCATGCAAACCACTGGCAGCACCTTTTCTAAGAATGCCTCTTCAAGCAAAATGATGTCATTTATTCCCCAGCCTGCCCTCTGTGTGGGTAACTGCTGCTGCGTTACCTTCCCCACGTCAAGGGTATCTTCTTTCACCTGGCAGTGCCCAGAATGAGGATGACAGAAACTGGAGCCAACAGAGATTTATTCTGTCATTGAACTGGCAGCTGGGATGTCACATAGTATCCGAGCTCTGACATAACTCTGAAACTTGGCACAGCTGGAACATGGGCTGTAACAGGTACTGCTGCTATTGTACTTCCCTGTTGCCTTTAGAATGATTGCTGCACTTCCACGAGGGTTACAAACTTCCCTGTTTGTTTGCCTGTCACACTGCAGCTTTATTTTAACAGTTCTACCTTTGTTTTCTTATTATTTTAAAATGGATTCTTCAATATTCCTGGTTCTCTCTGCCTAATGTGTCCTCTCCTCTGCCATCTGTACATTTTTCCCTGTTCTGGCCTCCTGACCCTCCTTACTTCATCCTCCTTCAGTACCTGGAGCTCTCAGCAGCTTCTCAGGTGCCACCACAGCCAGAGTTGTTGGGTGAACAGAGCACTAATGTTCCCTGAGCATAATTTTTCAACCCCTCACTGTGGGTTTTCCCCTGCACTCACCTTCCACAATCATTTTCCATGAATACAGCCAGGGATTCACACTGCAGCTTGGACAGAGTGAATGTTGAACCCTCTTGCCATTGCTTGCAAGAACACAACCAGCTTGTCTTACCTCCCTGAGATGCTGTGAGCAGAAGCTGCTGCTCAGATGAAAGCAGGTTTCCACACTCTGGCCCACTGCATTTTGATTTCTTTCTCTCTCCATTCCTCACACAGGTGTTACACTTTGCATGAGACCTTGCATGGATTCAGTGTGATTGCATCTGCTCACAACAACAGTGCAATAAAACCCTAAACTGTTCATTGTAAACACATAAAAATACACTCCCTTTCCTAAGAAACCTTTAGAAACACCTCCAGAAAGTCAAGTGCAGTAGCTCCTGATTGGCCTTTTTAACTTTCTCACACTCCTCAGTGTCCTCCAGTCCCAAGTTCTGCCCAAGAGCTGTGAAGCCAAGAGCTGGAGTGGTGGTCCTGGGGGGTGCCTGGAAGCTGGTGTCCATCACTGCTGGGCTCAGTGCCCAGAGCTTCTCTGGAGGACACTTTTCTGCATGATGGGTAAGATGAAGCTGCTTCTCCTGCCTCCCTGTGCATGACAGGAGGTGACTTCTAAATTTTACTTTATTTGTATCCTAAAGATGTGCAGATGGTGCCTGGTATCCCAGCCCTGGTGTTGGAGGAAAATCACAGCTGCCTGGGTGGCTTTATTGCAAGAAATGTTTATTGTTGAACACAGAAAAATAATGGTAAAGTGATTTAATGAATAAAAGAGGTGAGATAAAGCAAGGACTGTCATTTAGTAGGTGTATTTCTTGACTGGAGCAACAATTTTACTTGAAATTGAACTTGTCTTCAATTCTACCTGGTTTATTCTGATTAAATCACAGAATCCCAGACTGGCTTGGGTTGGAGGGGAACTGAAAAACCATCTCGTCCTCACCTGCTGCACAGGCAGGGACACCTCCCAGCAGCCCAGGCTGCTCCAAGCCCCATCCAACCTGCCCTTCAACACTGCCAGGGATGGGGCAGCCACAGCTTCCCTGGGCAACCTGGGCCAGGCTCTCACCACCCTCACACCAAAGAATTCCTAATGTCTAACCTAAACTTCCCCTCTCTCAGTTTAAAACCATCCCCCCTTGTCCTCTCCCTCCCTGCCCTTGTCCCAAGCCCCTCCCCAGCTTTCCTGGAGCCCCTTCAGGCACTGGAAGGTGCTCCAAGGTCTCCCTGGAGCCTTCTCTTCTCCAGGCTGAACACC